AGATGTTTATGTAAACCAAACGGAAAGTTTAGATTAAATGATAATAAAAGCTATAAATCTTTCAAAAAAAATCTGTTTTTCGCTCAAATTATGAACTTCTTTGTGCTGTTAATCATTCGACTCTTTTTTGAAACACAAGTAATATCTAAACAACTGATACAACAAAATAGCAGTTTTTCTATCAAATCAAAGAATCGGGGAAAGTTATATCGTAATCACTTTATTTTCAAACTAAATCTTTGACTAAATTTATAAAAACTTTTAACTAAAAAAGTTTAGTGCTTGGAATATACATGTATATTACAGTTACTATAATGCAATAACGATTTAGAATTACAATGATGATTTCATATATAAAATTACATACAAATAACCATATTTGCTACTTTTATCATTAAAATGTATCCTCTAATGACCCGAAAACTATAATACTAGACATTATATAATTTAGTCTCTGTTTCTAATGTTTAAATATTTTTGTGTATTATTAATGAGCATAAAAAGTAGACCACTAAACAAAATATTAGAATTGCATTTATAAATTTAATACAAAGTATGACTTCTATACATTTATTTTAAGTCGGTGATGAGTGATAAATACGGTATAAGGTTAGTAAATATAACTATTAAACGGTTGTTTATGATTTAATGACATATAAACCATAAAAATAGCCAAAAGGCAACTCCTATTATGCAAAGAATTAAATGATTACAACACTAATCCCATTATACTCTGGTATTTATCACACAATTCAATGATTTATATAGACTTTAATTCATTTAAAATTAGTTCAAAGCTCATAACAATTTCAATGAAAACATTAAATAATCCACTTTTTACTAATTTAAAGTCACATTTAAGACCAAATAACACTCGTTTTACAGTAAAGTAAATGAGAGGGTGAGTGAGTGAGTGAGAGAGCGAGAGAGAGAGAGAGAGAGAGAGAGAGAGAGAGACCCTGATCCTATTGTAATTGAATTACCAGTAAAGTACTGTATGAGTAATCAATCATATTAGTGATCAACTGTTTTATAAACCCATGAAATGGTATGAATTAGGTGTGAATGAGTGGTGACCTACCGATGCGTTTGGAGTAGGCGTCCAAAGCATAGGCCATGTCCTCCAACTTCTGCACCTTCTCCTCGATCTTATCAATCAATTGCAGGTTTGGTAACAAAGTCTTGTATTTATCATTCATTTGGTCCGCATTCTGGGCTAAGTTGACGGTCACGTCAGTCATCTCTTTATACCTCTCTGTCGTCGCGTTATTCATGTCCTCCAAGAGCTGGTAGTCCTCGAGAGTCACTGCGAGACAATTGTGTCACTAATTAATTGCCATTTCATACCACAAGAAGTGATCAATTGATACAAACGATTGAGTTCTGCGGACAAATAGTCGGACGTCTTGTCAAACATGACCTTCGCTTTGGCTTTCAGTTCATTCTCATCGCATCCGTTGGCATCGCTTCCCGAAGACATCACTCGAGCGCTTCCGACGGCTATTCACACGTCAAATGCAATCAAATGTCAAAACAAGTGCAGTGTTTGTGTTGACACTCGGGTTGTCATTGGAAACACTCACGCATTCACTGAGCGCTCAGTTTAAACCGATTCTCACTTTCAGTGTTATATTTGTTTTGAAAACTTATTATAAGTTTAATAAAACTAATTATAGTTTAATAAAACTAATTATAGTTTAATAATTAAACTAATTTAATATTCATTTTGTTTTATAAGTTTACGTACAATTTATTTATTTATTATGACTTTTATTAATAAATTAATATTTATAAAATCAATATAAACGTGTTGATGAGGTAACAAGCAATTTTCAGTTTATAATTTAATGATTGTTTTAATAAATGTTACTGGATACATATTGAATTTCATTTTTATATTAAATTTAGCTAGGTTTACATTTAAGTTAATTAATGCATGCATGAAATGAATGGAAAAGTCTATAAATTAGTATTATTAACATTTATATAGCAATCTGATGGCCTCGGCGTCCATAGCGGTGAGGCCGGGCTTGTCGTAGACCTCCTTCATGCCGAAGCCCTGGTGTTTGGGCGCCATTGTG